GATATAGGAGAAACGAGCTCACTGCTTCTATAACTAATATAAATAAGACAGCGTGCGGAATTATGCTGACGCCCGCTGCGTCAAAATCTCAGTGTTTGGCGTAAGAGGGAGGCACAACAAACCTCTCCAACGCTCTTGAATATTCGCTTCACACCTGCGCCAGACAACGTAGACGTTTGACTTGCACGTGGTAATTCAGCCTAGATTTACAAAAATTTAAAAGAAAAATGATGTGTGAAAAAATTGTTAGGAAAAACACACACCTCCATGGTCAAGAAATCACGAACATCACAATCCACGCGAAGTCTTGGGTGTTGAATAACACGTTTAACGAAACGCTCTAGTTGCCTTGCTCGACGGATTGCTACTTCTCGTGATGTTGCTGGATCTGACGTCGCCTACAAACAATTTCGTACTAGGAGGGGTTGGTACAAGATGAGTGCGCAGAAATGCCTAATGTTGTTAATGTTACGTATCAGGACAGGATTAATGACGATATCTAGCAACGCCTTTTCGCTGCGTGAAGAAGTACAGGAGAAAGCGGTTGGTCGCGGCGCTTATAGCGTTTTCCTCCACTTGTTAAAGCGAGCAAGCGACCAGACTGTATCATATCGCTCGTACCAGTCGTTTTCCACCAACTGTTGTCGCTTACCCATTTCAACAACTAGTGAAGAACGGGCAGGCAAATCCAGCCTCACTGACACGCCCCATCATCCGCAGCGAACAAGACTGTACGTCCTTCCTATGCCTTTCCTTCGTAATTTTCTTTCTGGACAGCATTTATTACTGAAGGATTGGACAAGTCTACGTGAGAAGCTTCGGCTCAAGTGAGCCGATTTCTCCACTGTTCAAGGGGTTCCCACCCCTCGTGAACAGTAATATCAAATAAAACTCCTTAACCGCTCAAATGATAGCGTGACATGAGACACTGATTGAAATAACCCTTGAAATATCTGACTGGGCCTCGAGAAATGAGCCCTTCAAACGACAGGGGGTGTGGAGCCCATAAGTTGGATCGCAGCCATAACC